TTTTGCATAATTTTTCTGTACCTAAAACTCTCCAACAAAATGGTGTAGTAGAAAGGAAAAATAGGTCACTAGAGAAACTTGCTAGAACCATGTTAAATGAATCAAATGTTCCTAAATATTTTTGGGCTGATGCTGTGAGTATTGCATGTTATGTATTAAATAAAATGCTTATTAGGTCCATCATAAAATTAACTCCTTATGAATTGGTAAATGGAAGGAAGCCTAATGTTTCACACTTAAAAATATTTGGTTGTAAGTGTTTCGTTTTAAATAATGGTAAAGATAACTTAGGAAAATTTAACTCAAAAGCCGATGAGGCTATCTTCTTAGGTTATTCACTTTTTAGCAAAGCATATAGAGTATTAAATAGAAGAACCTTGAATATTGAAGAATTTGTACATGTTACTTTTGATGAAATTATAGACCTTGAGGGAAATCCTCTTAGTCAAATAAAGAATTTGCAGGTGATGATGAATACATTAGAGAAGAACTAGATGAAATGTACCTAAATGAAAATGAATCATCACAACTAACAAAGATGGTGAAAGAGTGGCAACCACTAAAAGAACTTTCAATGGACAATATAATTGGTGATATTTCAAAAGGGGTTAGAGGCTATATCTACTTCTTGCTTATACTTCATTGATGAAATTTAAACTATATCAAATGGATACTACAAAAGTTGCACACACTCCAATGGGAACGTCCTGCTATCTAAATAAGGACGAATTAGGCTTGGAAATAAATCAATCTATGTATAGAGGTATGATAGGTTCTCTATTATACTTAATAGCAAGTAGACCTAATATCATGCAATTTGTACGTGTGTGTGCTAGATTTCAAGCATGTCCAAAAGAATTTCATTTAACTGCAATAAAAAGAATATTTAAATACAGGATTTGGTTTATGGTACCCATCTGAAGCTTCTCCTAGCTTATTAGGTTATTCTGATGTTGATTATGGAGACTGTAAAGTAGATAGAAAAAGCATTAGTGGTACCTGTCATCTATTAGGATCATCCTTAGTTTCATGACATTCTAAGAAACAAGTTTGTGTTGTTTTATCCACAATTGAGACTGAATATATTGTAGTTGAAAATTATTGTACTCAAATTTTATGGATGAAACAACAACTAGAAGATTATAATATTTTCTAAGTGACATTCCTTTAATGTGTGATAATACAAGTACAATTAATCTCACAAAGAATCCTATTCTACATTCTAGAACTAAACACATTGAGATTAGACATTACTTTTGAATAGATCACATTTCTAAAGGAAATTGTAAAATTGAATATATAGACATAAAGCATAAGTTAGCAAACATTTTTACCAAACCTCTTCCCAAGGATAGATTCTATGAACTTCGGAGAGACTTAGGAATATTAGAAATAGCATAAACTCTGCTTAATTGTAAAATTTTGCTTTTTGTATTGGAATAATCAATTATCTTGTGTAATAATCGATTATCTTGTGTCTAATACATGTTAAGTTTGTCAAACTCTCTGGAATAATCGATTATATTGTGAAATAATCGATTATTGAAGCTTCAATGTGTAATTCATGAAAAATATTTTTGTAAAATTCGATTATTTGGGCTAATAATCGATTATCTGTAATTCAATGTGCCAAATCAGTAAATTCTCTTTGGGATAATCGATTATCTCAAGTGATAATCGATTAACCATGCATATTTCTGGGTAAAAGATAAAGAAATAATCGATTATCATAAGTGATAATCGATTATTTGACGTCGTTAGAGATATCCTAGTCGTTGGCAACGACTCTTTTTGCATGGATTCTTGGAAATATAGTCGTTGGGGACAATTCCTATATAAAGATGAACTCATTTTCGAATCATCACACCTTATTGCCTCACTTCCAAGCATTTTACATAGATTTCAAGCTTTCTTGCCTTCTTGTATCTCTCCAAGCTCTTGCTTTCTCCAAGTTTGATAAACTTTCATCTTTCCAACCTTAAATTCATCCCAAATGGCTTCCTCTTCTAGGCTTAAGATTCCAACTAGGAGAAAATATGCTCCTGCATCTCATCATCGCCCTAACTCTATTGAAGAGTGGATCTCTGATGATGAAGGAAGACAAAAATATCTAAATTTTTGGAAGGAAAGGAGTTCAACAAGGAGTTCTGTCCTTCATTGACAGGGGCTTCAATTTCCCAAATCTCCTTAAACAACAAGGAGTTCTGTCCTTCATTGAAATGCAGGGCACCTACTATCCTGATTTGGTTAGAGTCTTCTATTCCCGTTTCAAGTTCAGAGATAATGTCGTCACTTCCAGAGTAAAGGGGTCACCATCATTCTTGATGATGACATTTGGGAGAATGTTGTTCATTTTCCTATTAGAGATGATACTGTCAACGTTCTTGTTGATCTAGAAGAATTCAACATAATTCTGGCATATCGTTCGTTCCTCCGTAATCCTGCCATGGAGATTGGCAGATAACTTCTGGCTGGTCCTCTGAAGAAAGAGGAACATATGTTACTTCATCTTCTTGTCTGGATACTCTGTCCTCGAGCCACCAATCATGTTCAATGTTCTACCGCTGATCTTCGCATCATTTTATGCCATTATGAACGACGAGCCAATTGATTGGCCCAGTCTTGTTACTTTGACTATGCTCAAAGCGAAACGTCACCCCATCTTTAAGATTCCTTATGCACTTCTTATCTCCAGGATTCTGGAATATAAAGGTGTTAATGTTGAAGGTGAACAACGGGCTCAGACTTTAAATTCCAATCGGATGCTTGATGGAACGTTATCTCAGTTGCAGATGGTAAATGTTAATGGAACATATTTTCATAAAGATAATGTTCCCTATGCTGCTGAGGTTGCTGGAGATTCTAATAATGAAGAAATGTTTGCTGCAGATATTCCTGTCACCAGAACTTCATCTGGTGTTCATGTTGATTCCTGCTCCTCTATTGACGATATGCTCGTCAGCATGAACCAACGAATGCATGTTTTATTCTCTATCTTTCCTGAATGTCATCAAGAAGTTATAAATCGAATTTCAGATGTAAATGAACGTGTATCAAATCTGGAAGACAGATTTGATATGCAATTTAACTCGGACTCTGAAGAATTTTAGAATTCTAGGCTTAGGAATTTCTGTTTATATGTTGTATTATTTTGCTCAAATTTAAATAAAATATATATTTTATATGTTGTACATTTTATATCAACTTGTGTTTATATGTTGCACATTTTAAGGGGGAGTTTTAATTTCTTATGCACATGTTGAGGGGGGGGCTTTAATTTTTTTTTATTATGATAAAAATAGGAGGAGAAAATATTTAAGGTCTGATACGTTTAATATTTTTGTTAGTTGTGACAGTAAAAACAGGTTATTACAAAGGGCTTTAAAGCAGATTTTAATCATCATAAAAAAGGGAGAGATTGTTGTACATACAAGGATATGATGCTTGAAGATTTTGATGATGATTCAAGAACAAAAGACTTGAAGTTTTGAAAACTTATAATCATTTGTATTTACTTGTAATAACTCTGTTTTATTTTTTTTTTAGTTTGTAAAATTAGAGTCCAAGATAGTCAGCACATAATTCTTCCTCTGAAAGTTTATTTTTATCAAAACCACTATGTGATAATCGATTATCACTTAGGATAATCGATTATCCTGCTTGAAATCTGTTTTCTGAAAAGCTTGTTGGAATAATCGATTATCTGACTTGATAATCGATTATCCCAGTTGTTTTTTGTTTTTGAAAACTCTGGAATAATCGATTATCTAAGAGGATAATCGATTATCCTGGTCTAGTTTACTCCTCTACAAAAATGGCTTTGTGATAATCGATTATCACTTAAGATAATCGATTATCTACATCTGTTATTATTTTTGAATTTCGAATTTGGACCTATTTTCGATGCACCTGTTTCCAATACTCCTATTTTTGAAAACCTATTCCCCAGACCCTAAATCTCTCTACTTAAGGTTCTCTAAAACTATCTGAACAGACAACCCTTTTCATACAAAAGTTAAGAGTTGTGATTGCTAGAGAACTTTATGTAAGGAAAAAAAGCGGTCTTTGAAAACCTAGTATGAGCTAGAAGCGTTAAGAATCACTGAGTGGATTTCTTGGTGGATTGTGTGTTGTGCCATCTCTAGAAAAAACTATTGTTCATCCTTTGTGGATTCAAAGGAAGTGTTCCTCTCTTGTGTGACTCAAGAAAGGTATTTTCTAATCCTTATCTTTTGCAATTTGTAATCTGTTGTAAAATGTGATTATAATGACAACGTTAATCTTTTTTAGAGTGATTAACAACTAGACGTAGGATCTTTTGATCCGAACCAATATAAATCAACTGTATAATCTTCTTTCCCTTATCTCTTTATTTTACAAGCATTTTAATCGGTGAAATTTGGGAAAAATTTTATAAACCCTGATTTTTATAATTAAACCAATTCACCTCCCTCTTGATTTTGTCCGCAACCGTAAACATTTCGCTGCGGCATTTAACATGTATAACAGTTTCTGGAAGTATGCTCCCATTTAACTTTGCCCATAATGACTTTTGCAGAATAAGACAATGAAAGCTGAATATTTTTGCTGAGATATTCCATGCAAAGATAGTCAGCATTCAGTAGCAGTGATATACAACCTGAACAATTTCACCAAAACATATTTCATTGCAAAATTTGACATAACACTTCACAACTTGTCTTACCGCCCTAATACCAAGCAAACGAGTATGTTGCTTGCTTTGATTATTGAAACAAAATACCATCCTTACCGAAAGTACAGCATCCATGCGCTGATCAAGCCAATAATCCACAATTATGTGCTTCCAAGATCAAGCAAAGGTTCATTTGGTTTGAAACCAAGATTGCTTCTGCTATCACGGCTCAAAAGCCTTGGCTGTGGACATCTAACTGATCAGATATAATGATTGTTCCAATGCATGGGCCTGTGACACTTGCAGTTCTTCAAATTCAATGCAATCATTTCTTCAGTGATAGTACTCAAGCAAGCCTTAGCACTGCCACTGCCAGCAATGCGGCGGATCTGAAGTATATTTCTCCTAGGCTCTTATCGACCCTTTGAATCATTTCCTCATCTTTCAGTCTTGGCTTTCCAGCATTTTTGTTAATGCCAACAATTGTATCCCTTAGCTTATTCACTGCCCAAGAAAGCCAAACCAGTCCAAATCCAAACCCTGTGTTGAGGATCTTAGAAGCACAAAAGGGAATCCCCCTTCCACAAGAAAGCTTACAGATCACAGATAGCAGGACAGCAAGACCAGTACCAGCAATGGCAACAGAAAATTGTGTAAGGAGTTCAGGAAGCTCTGGGCCAGATTTCTTGAGAGAGAGAATTGCTGTTTTAGGGTGTTGCCTCTTGTCAACTATTAAGGACAGAAGGCTCTCACATGCATGTAGATAGTTTTTCTGGAAGAGATCCCTTTCTCTGGCTACTTTCTTGTTCTTCTTTTGTGAAGGCTTGGCTTTAGCTTTCTCAGGACTGTCAAGCAAAAGAAAAACAATAACATGATACGTTTATGAGTAAGACTATCCACAACCAGAGAGAGAAACAGTCAGCATAAATGAAAGCAATAATGCAGTTCAACTATAGAGCATAATGCCTCTATGTCATGATGTTGAAAAATTACATACATCTATCTGAAATTAACATTGCATTGAAAGAAGTTTTACAAGAAGATACTTCTCTCTCATCAGACTCCTATTTGAAAAATCAGTTTGTAGATAGATTATCCACATAGGTCATAGCATGGGGGAAACCAAAGGCAGAACAGTGATGAAATGAAAAGCCATAAACCAAAGTTGCATTAACTTTTTAGAGAACAGAATGATTATGAACTATTATTTGAATAAAAGTAACCTCCTAGACAAGTATATATTGCATATCCTAAAGTCAGGAGGAAAGAGGCAAGTTCTCAGGGAAACACATTTTGCATACCTCCTCAAAGGAACTGTCAATGTAGAATCAATATCCAACGTGGAGGAAAGACTCCTTGCTTGTACTTCATTGATACTCATCCTGCACATAGCAATTGATAGTAAAAATCAACAAAAATAGATTGTTAAATATGGGGATTTAAATATTTATTACTAAAGTAATTTAATAGCAACATCAAATGTTTATTGAAAAATAAGTGGAATCAAGGAATCACTGTGCAAAATTTTAAAGCAACTCATTTAACAATATTAATTATCAAATATGTATTTATTTTGCATTTATTTCAGAATTAGAGGACAAAAAATTGGTGTGTATTTGGAAGAGCTTATGGAAGAGAAATATTTTTTTTCTTTTATTAGTTTCTGAAAACACCATTTTAAAAAAAAAAGACTGTTTCTCAAAATTAAGAGTTAGCACGATTGCATTAATTAAATTAGTAAAAATAATCAATTTAAAAGAAGCACGCTCATGCGCACACACATGTGGAGGGAACAAGTGAAGAAGGAAGGTTGTCTTCACATTGACCAAAATTTCAGCTATCTTAAATGAAAGTATACCAAACTAATAGCTTCCCTCCAAGAAAGTTGTGGCAATCCTTCACAGTAAGGTAAGTAATTCTTCAGAGTGCCAGAAATATGTACCTTACTAAGAACAAAATTAATGGGCTTTTGTTTTTGTTTCCAATCAAAATTCGAATATCACCTTGGTAACTAATGTCAACCATTACTACATGGATTACCAAAGTGAAACTCCAATTTTAATTAGAGAATATCAAAAACTACCTAGTGGACTACACATTAACAAAAGGCAACCCATTGTCAATTTAGCACATTTATGGATAAATTTTCAACTAGGTGTCAAGACTGCAAAACAACAGTCAACAATGTGAAGGCTAAATCATGCAAATTGCTAAAACTCCAGTATCTTCCAATACATTAGAGAAGAAACGCATTTAAAAAAAACATATATCTTCCAAGCTTTTAAATTTGACATAAAATATAATTAAATCTGAGTTAACCCATAGATCAACAGTCTTAACACAGAAAAATATTGATTATTTCTTTTACTGTGAAAATGTAATTATAGGTAACCAACAAGAAGAGTTAGAATTTCATGTGATCAATTGACTCGTAAAACAGTTCCAAATATTTATACCTGCTGAAGTGTGGAACAAGCATAGATTGTTTTTCACCCTTACGTAATAAGTAAGGATCAGCAACTACAGAAAGAAGATCTTTCATCTCAATTGCAGTACCCATAATAGTGAATTGACCATTTGGGTGAACTGTAACCTTTGAACTAAAGGCCAAATCTTGAAAAATATCAAGCAAAAGCTTCGGGATGAAGAATTTGCTTTTTGGGATAATAGGTGTGAATGGTTTTTGAGGTTCATCAATGCCTGATAATTGCAAATCCACCAAGTCAGACAACAAAGATATATGTTCTCCACCTATCCCAGCTTCAACACTCTCAAACATGACGCACTGCAAAATTTTATCCGGCTGACTGCATTGTTCAACAATACTAAAGCCAAAATGTACTGGGCTTGGATAAGTTTCTGCCACCAAAATTAAGGAAATTACTTAGAAAGACATGGCGTAGAACACAAATTTAATAGCAAAGTCAATGAGCATTCATACAGAAGTAACTGTAGGCTCAATTACATCTAGCATCTGTTCACCAATTACTTACATCATTCTAGCACCTAGCAATGCATCATATCTGAGAAAGAAAACCAACCTTCCTGATTAGGTATGTATTACCATAATCTTTTTGGTCATCGGGTTTAAGATTTCAGCACTAAATTAACATGTGAATGAAAAATGATCATTGGACTTAACATTTGACCACTAAATTAACATGTGAAAGAAAGAGACATAATAGATAAGGAGCCACACACAAGCTCTTAATAACAGTATAAGTTGAGAGAAATAACACATAACGAAGAAGTCATTGTAATTGGGTACACATTCACCGATCCATGTGGATGGATCCCAATACCTCCCTTGACTAGTGGCCTTGTCTGGCAGCCATCTATTTCCAAGGAAATACATTGGCCCTTAGAGGCTAGTTGAATAGTATCTTTTTTAGGTGGGGTGAAAAAAGTCCTTGGAGGTAAATTCTCTGTCCTGACTACTGGACCTCTGATTGCCACTCTTGGACATCATGTATGTCACTGCCACCTTGATTTCCAATCATGGAATACCTTCCCCTTACTACCATAGCACCAGAAAAACAAATCAATACTGTTCAACCTACAGTAAACTATAGGTTTACATCCACCAACAAAGCATAGCGAAAATTCACTATGAATGATCAAAGAAAATTACAAGGAGTAATCTCTCAACTCTCAGACCCTGTTCCCAATACACCCAAATCCTCACAGTTGCGAAGATTTGACAACTGATTACAACATAAGTATTGGTCCATACTACAGGCAGGGCCTCAAAATTTCTCTGTCTGCTTGCACCTCATGATTATCTTCAGGAGGGTTCAAGTGTAGGCCCAAGACATCCACACTTACGAACAACCTCATCAACTGAAAGAGTAGTTACAGGATTATTGGGATTATTAGTTATTACATCACCAACAAATAGTATTTAGGTTATGTGGCTTCGAGTTAGACAAATTGGAATCGAGCCATTAATTATGTAATATTGAAGAACGAGTTATAGATCAAATGGATCAAATATAACTCAGTGAGCTGCCTGCACACCTTGAACATCAATAAGTATGGGCCTTTGAGTCGTCAAGTTCACTTTGACTATCTGATCAGAATCGAACCACCCTTTTTGTGGCTTGGTTGACTCAAATGGATTCAGCGGGGATCCATATCTGATAATGTCTGGTCTCAGTACAGGAGAAGGCCATAATTGTTGACAACCCTGTCATACAAAATAATCAAGGAAAAACATGAAGACAGGGCACGGGTTAGCAAGACCGCCACTAACAAACTCCAGCATGATTTTCAATAGAAAAATTTATTTATTGATTCTCAAACCAGTGTACCCTAAGACCACTGGTTGGCACTTAGCACACTGAACTGTCTTTTATCTAGAATTTTACCAAAAACATGAATTATGAAAGAGAAAAGGTATCAATTCCCGATTCCAGTTGTGCTCAATGGCCAGTCTCCAATTTTAAGAAACAATTCATCAATACACTAGAAAAAGAAAACCCTTTTTCATTCAATGACCCAGCTAAAGGATTAGGGTAGTTCTGTAAAAAATAAACCTTTAACATGATCAAAAGTTTCTACCACCAAATCATAAACCAGATTTTTACCTTGTTAATGGTGCAGCCAACCATGGGCCACTCGTGCTGCAGAGCAAGTCCCAGAGGGCATCCATGAGAAGCCATCAAACACAGTTTCTCTGTGTTGAGAGAAACGAGGTTTTGGAAACAAACAGTCTCCTCAATTCGTGGCTCTGTTGCACTTATGCCTTCATCGACTTATCCCCACCAGGGCCTCAAATCCGAAAGATTTTCCGCAATCTTAATCATTGGGTGGTACAAGAAATTTAAAATAATAAGAATAAAAAGTGGTTTTATGCTATCCATTTGTTTAAACCGGAAACTTCCGAAATCGAAGGAATCAACACTATATGAGCTGAGATCACACATGTTGTCTCTTCTTCCCCTAGGACTTCGACATGTTCAGTGGTTTGTTACTGTGTGCCCTCAGTCTCATCTACACTGTCACTTCAGATTCATCTCCACCGTTCATTCCCTTCGCTTATTATTCGGGCCGTTAACATCGTGCGATAAGTAAGTTGTGAATTTCCGTGCTCCACGTGCCACAATTATACGAACCAACCAGCAATTATACATCATATACCATGTTTTTCAAAAAAATCTCTGCTCCATGGGTCCGGCTTTTGCAAGTTGATATTATATATGACAATGAATAAATTTATAACCATTAATAAATTATTCCTTTTTAACTGGTTTTTTAATAAATTTATAAATATTTTAAATATATATATATATATATATATAAATTAATTTATTTACATCGTTTTATTATTTATATATAAAAATTTTATAATTTTTTCTTTTTCTTTTATTCATTCTTTATTTTTTTTCCTCTTTCCTATAATACTTATCTTGTTTTACTCTCATTTCTCTCCACTCATTTTTTTTAATTAAACTGTTATATTAAAATTTAATAAAAATATATTAAAACAAATATTTTAAAATCAACATTTAAACTAAAAAATATTAACTAATTATTTAAATTTTATTTATTTTAATAATAAATAATTTTATTTATAATAATATAAATAATTAATTTAAAATTATTTTATTATAATTATTTATCTAATTAAAAAATAAAATATTTATAAATTAAATATATTATTATTTAATAATTTAATTTAATTATAATTAGATTGAAATATGATAATTAGTTATATTAGATAATTTTAAAAATATTTATTCAAAAATACTTTAAAATAAATATTTTTTTAATAATTATAACATATAACATCTCAAAATTATTATATAATATTTTTAAAAAATACAATATATTAAATTATAGTATTTTTACATCATTTAAATATTTTTATATTTTAATAATAATAAAAGAGTCACGTTATTAAATTCTAATTTATTATTTTTAATTTAAAAATAAAATGGTGTGAAAGAAGAGTAAAAGAATGAAAACGAAAAAAATAAAGAAATAAAGAAAGAAAAAAAAGTAAATAACTATATCATAGATAAATTTATTTTTTATAAACAATAAACACAACTATTTGATTAAATAAACTTAAAAAATTATATTTAAATATTTTTTCTTTTAAAATATATTATAAGTTGATATTATATATGAAAATTAATAAATTTATAACAATTAATAAATTATTCTTTTTAAAAAAAATCATATTATTATTTTACCTTTAAATTTTTAATAATTAACGTCATAATTGTCTTTTATATTTATTATTTTATATTATATTATTGTATTTGAAAATATTATATTACTTTTAATTGTTTTTTAATACTTTTTTAATTGCTGAATTACTCGTAAAATTACTTTTGTTATGCATACTATTTATGCTATTCTCTTCATTAATGTTGTTAAAAAATTTATTAATACTGTTAAAAAACTATTAATACTGTTAAAATTAACCTAATCATCGTTCGGATGAGGTATTAACCATGCTTAAACTATCGGATTACTGATTTATTATATTAATATGGATTACAATAAAAAAAATAGTATACCTGTGTATAATATAATCTGATAAATTTAATTTAATTTAAATTGTTTATTATAATAAAATACTAACCTATTCCAATCTATCACTCAGATTTGTTGATCCAGTCCAAATTTTAAATATTTATTTTTTATGTTTAATATTTTAAAATTTAAAATAGATTTTTATGTGTACCTTTTATTAGTTTAGTATAAAATCACATGAATATCCTTCTAAAATAATCATTATTACAACTGCTATTAAGTAATCCTATGCATATTATTTCAATAAATTTAATAAAATTATTATTCATTTATCAATAATTCAATATATATATTTCAAAGTAATAATATAAATCAATACATTATGTTAGATATTATTTAATATTATTAAGATATTGTTAGATATTAACCATAATATCAAACAATATCTTCTGTTTATTCTGTTACTTTCAGTTACTCTTTTAGTTGTATCTTTCTACTATAAATAGACTAGCCTATGTGTGATTTATACACAAGGGAGATTAATCTCAAAATCTATTTCTTCTATATTCAACATGGTATCTAGAGCTTAAGGTTATTTTGAATTTTTTTTTTTCGCCTTTGACCACTATTGAAGCCGCCACCACCGCCGCTATCGTTGTCGGTTATTTGGTAGTGTGAAAGTGCATGTCTAGGAAAGTTCTGACAAGGAAAGATTTGGTATTTAAGCGTGTCCATTAGTGACTCACCTCTCTTTCCTAGGAACTTACCTGGTGTACTGGTTCACGCCACTATCACTATCGCCTCCGCCTTTATGAGTTCTTCCGCTCCTTTTAGTACTTCCAATTCTGTCAGTACTGCGTCTGATCCTTCCATCTACACTAACTATGTTAATGTGCACTTATCCATTGACAAGTTAACCGGCCCTAATTATGTCACATGGTCATCGGACGTCGGATTATGGCTTAAGAGTCGAAGTATCTTGATCATCTTGCCCGAAAGCACCTACTCTCACTCCTGGTGAGGAAGACCGTTGGGACACCATTGATGCTCAATTATGCGTGGTTCTCAAGGGTACTCTTGATCCTTCGTTAAAATAAATTTTTCGTTCCTACGAAACATGTGCCAAAATCTGGGAACATGCCAAGTTATTATACACCAATGATACTCAACGTCTCTATGATGTATGTTCTAAATTTGTAGATGTTATTGCCTCTAAACATCAAGATTCTATGACTGATTATATGGGCAAAATTCATGCTCTTTTTCATGAGTTCAATAAGTTATTGCCTCCTTCCCCGACCCACCTACCGAGATAGGACAACGATCAAAGTTCTTCATGCTAGGGGCATTACACGGACTTGCCGATCAATATTCATATATTCGTGATCGGATTTTGGGTTCTCCGGTTGTCCCCACCTTGACATCGACTCGCTCCACTCTTTTGCGTATACCAGCAAAACCCAACCCTGACACACCTACTTCTGTTAATGATTCTTCTGCATTGGTATCTCACCGTGATGATCGAACTCGTCCTCGCAAACAGGGAAAAGGACGTCCTAAGTGTGAACATTGTGGCAAGCTAGGTCACAAGATTGACCAGTGTTATGCATTACATGATTGTGAACATTGTGACAAACTAGGTCACAAGATTGACAAGTGTTATGCATTACACGGTCGTCCTACTCGATCTACTGCAGTTGCTCAGACTGATCTTTCCCCACCTTTATCTGCTAAGGATCCTCCTTCTTCTATTTCATCAGACACACCTGCTATGTTCAACAAATTTCTCAAATAGTATAAGGATCAACAGTCTTCTAGTTCCACTGTGTCTGTCGCACACACAGGTACATCTTTTGCTGGTCTAACCCAATCTTCTTCTGGTCCTTGGGTTTTTGATTCAGGAGTCACTGATCATATTACTGGTAACAAATCTTTGTTCTCCTCTTTATCCTCTCCTGATCCTTTACCTTTTGTTACACTAGCTGATGACTCTAGAGTATCATCTCATGGTGTTGGAACTGTTAAACTTTTCCTTTCTTTAACCATTGTAGACCCCAAATCTTGCCCGGCCTCCAAATAAAGGACCACAAGACCACTATTTGAAGATGGAAGAAGCCTAACAAGCCATTAGGAGAGACTATTAGGCTCCCATACTAGGATAGGAGGTGTTTTCTGCATAGAAATAAGTTTTCTCGCCTTTAAGGGTCGAGAACGCCGTCTGGGACGCCCAGAACGCCGTCTGACCTCGCGGAAAAGGCGAGAACGCCGTCTCGCCAAGCGAGACGGCGTTCTGGCCATCTGCGAAGGAGCAGACGGCGTTCCCGACTGACCAGACGGCGTTCTGCCCCTTTCAGCAAGCCCAGACGGCGTTCCGACTGTCCGAGACGGCGTTCAGCCTCGTTAGACGAGAACGGCGTTCGGACCCCGCCAGGCCCGAAAACCTATAAATAGGGGCTCTCTCCCCCTCATTTCCGGGGACCTCAAGCATTAGCTCTCCCTTCTCTCTAGATTTTCTCTCTCTAGAACCCCTCCGAGGCATTTCGGAGTTTCGAGCGTCTTTAGTAGAATTCCGAGCGTTCTAAATCTTCTTTAGAATCCCTCCGAGGCATTTCCGGAGTTTCGAGATTTTGTAGAGTGAAGGGCTGCCAAAACGCACCCACTTTATTGAGAGTTAATACAAAAAGCTTGCTTCGAAGGTGCAAAATTCTCTCTTCTTACTTTTACCGCTTTAATTACAAATGCTGCAATAGAAATTAGGGCCATGTAGTCATATTTTTTAAATACCGCAAAATAAAAAGGGCAAAAGCATTATTTTCTAGTTCATTTACCAATAAAATAAGTTGGCCTGTCATAGGGAACCCGAAAGGGGCGTCGTAAAGGGGCTAATACCCCCTTTACACGTAACTAACTCCCTTACCCAACTCTGGTTTTAATGGACCAAAGTTGGTTTTCGAAAACCAACACCTTTTTTACCCCTTTCCGATGTTTCCGGTAAAAACATCGGTGGCGACTCCATAGAACCCATAAAAAGTCTTTAGGGTTAGCCCGGTTATCGGACAACCCAAAGACACATTTTCGAAAACCTCGCTTTAAGTTAGCCCGGTTATCGGACGACTAAAAGCGTTGTAACCAATAAAAAACGCGATTACGAAAGAAATAAAAGAGTCGAAAAACCATC